AAGCGGCGTAAAACCATACTCACTCACTCACTTTACGACGGCATTCTACTCGTTTGCCCGCCCCGATTATGTTTCTAGGTTTGTCATCACCATACCCGTGCTCGTGGGTTTCACCGAAGTGATAAACGTCTCAGACCTGCATCACTTCGGGCTTTCCTCCCACATTAAGCTGACACGCCGTGATATAACTGGAATATTGTTAAAAGCGACGTTAAACCCAACTCACTCACTCACTACTCTTTTGCCACTTTATTGTCTGAATATGACCTGAACATCAAAACACCCCTCGCAATGATTTAGACTGTTCCAATAAGTCTTTTGCACGAGCCCCGTTTCTCTCGAACTGCACGTGCGTGAAACTGCAAGAAGTCGGTTTGGTTGAGATGAAGGTGCGTTTGTTTGTGTAACAGGCAGGCTAAATTAATTATTTAATTACTTATGTCAAGGAAAGACCCCCAAAAGGTGTTTTTTTCTTTCTTCATGACACAAAATTGATATGTGTATGTACCAAGTTTGGAATTCAGCTTGTAGTCGGTGATTTATGCAGTGGTGACAAATAATGCCATACTTCATGTAATCATTGGACGCGTTGAGATTGATCACGTGCAGGATCAAAGTTAATCACATTTGCTCAAAACACATGCAAACGGGTATCCTGTGTAAATCCTGATGTGATTAATTGCTTTATTTTAATGACGACCCAAACGTGCAACACCCTTTAAAAATATAGCTTTGAAAAAAAAAATGTAATTAAAAAAAACTTCTTATCTAAATTTTCACATGGCTCCAGCAGCAAGCTCTCATGAACAATGTATCTTTTCAATGGTCGTCTATCAAGGGATGCATTATCGCCAGCAAATACCATCTCCTGTGACGTCACTCTATTGTCTCAAGCCGCCATTTTTGTTCAGGAATTGAAACACGCAATTATCAAACCACGGATGTGCATTTTTGATAAATGAAAGTTAATGTACACTTGACAGTACCGGAACCTCTTTGGGGCCTTGACAATTAAATAAATGGTAGTGCCAACGGCACTGGAACCTGCTTCGTCTGATCAGACTGCCAGTGATTGCAGTCAGTAATGCATTGTTTAGTGAATAAACCTCTATGGACATACTGTGAATTGTATATTGAGTTGTTGTAATGTCCGAAAGTCAACCAATTCGTGTACGCATTGGATGATTACTATATAAAAACAATGGACTGGCTTTGATCAGGTCTTTCCTGATGGTTAAAACTGCGTTTTGGAAAGCACAATTTCCAATAAAACGTTAAAACTCACAGAAGTTAAAACGTTCATTATGTGGACACAATGTGGCGACAATTAATGACATGGCCAAGAAGGTCCTAAAGTTCTTACAAATGTACACTTACAAGTGTCATGTTCTTGAAAAAATATTTTGCCGCAAAACGAAGCGCACGATCTTTGAGCTGAGCGAACAGTTTACGGGCTTCATGTTTTGTGTTGTTTGTTTGTTGTTTAACGCCGAAACAAGCAGTATTCCATCTATATGACGACGGTCTGTAAATAATCGAGTATGGCCCAGACAATCCAGTGATTGACCTCATGAGCATCGATGAACATCCTGACCACCCAACTCCCTTAGTCGCCTTTTACGACAAGCATAGACGCCTTTTACGACAAGCATAGACGCCTTTTACGACAAGCATAGACGCCTTTTACGACAAGCATAGACGCCTTTTACAAGCATAGACGCCTTTTACGACAAGCATAGACGCCTTTTACGACAAGCATAGACGCCTTTTACGACAAGCATAGACGCCTTTTACGACAAGCATAGACGCCTTTTACGACAAGCATGGGTTACTGAAGACCTTTTCTAACCCGGATCTTTACGAGTAGGTTTCATGTAGTGCGAGCCCAATAGTGTTAATACACACTTCAAAAAAATATATTTGAATCACATAACTTAAAAGTCTCCGAAAAGGGACAAGGTATGAAAGGGGTCATTTCGGGGCCACAGGATCTACATATTATTGCCCCATTAAATGAGCAAATCTTAGAAATCTCATTGCTAACAGTATTCCAGTTATATCACGGCGTGTCAGCTTAATGTGGGAGGAAAGCCCGACGTTTACCACTTCGGTGAAACCCACGAGCACGGGTATGGTGCTGACAAATCTAGAAACATAATCGGGGCGAACCGGGATTCGAACCCACAATCATAGGTTTCTGGCGTGCCCAAGGGGCGTACCTCTGCACAGCGAATCGCGGCGCCTTAAGACGACAGGGCCACCCTTTCCCCTGTTCATATGAGTGCCAACGAGACTTTGGTCATGTCCACGCTTGCATGATCTGGGCTTATAACACCGTCTCCGTGGTCTAGTGGTAGAGCGTCCGCCCGGAGAGCGGAAGGTAAGGGGGTTCGATTCCAAGAGACGTTAAAAGATGGTACATGTTGCTGCCCTGTCCTGCGCTCGGCATTACGGGGCTAGAACAAGGACTGGTCGGCTCGGAGACAGAATACTGTGTCTGAGTGGGGTATTCATGTTGAGGTATCTCAGTGGGCTAGCACTATAAATCGGCATCAATCCGGGCCTAGCACACACACACAGCCACACACACACACACACACACACACACACGTGTGCTTTATAAGTGCGATATTCTTGGACATTACGTTAAACCCCATTCACCTCACCTGGACTTATAACAACACTAAATGTATATAAATGGTAAAATGGGTTGAAAAAGTTGATTTTAAAGATATTTTCGGGGGGAAATTATAAATGTAACATGCGCATGTCTTTGGTTCAAGCTAAGTAAATGTAGATGAAGACAGTACACGCCTATGGTCAAAACTGAATATATAGCTGGAATATTGCTTAGTGCGGCGTAAAACAACAAACCAAAAACAATGCCAACATTTCAAAATATTCTGTCATTTTAAAATTTGACATTACCAGTGGGCCCAATAGGGCACTTATTCTAAACCGTCCATTGTTGGCACATTGAGGTTTAAATAAATTTGTTTAATGGAAAAGACATATAATTCTATTCTACGCCATCCTCTTATGGAAAACCTCCGCGGAAGATGGTAAGTATTTCCTTTTCTGTGTCAGGAATATAATAATTTTTATTGCTTAAACTTTATTTGAAAAAAACCAAAGTTGTGGCGGTGGGTTGCCAAGTAGTTACCGTGTTCTATCGTCATGTCGAAGATCGAAGATCGAAGATCGTACAATGCGTACCCCACGCCGATATCGATATCACCAGATTGTTGCTTGAAGCTGCTGAGAAGTATATCCCACGATACTAGTTTGAACAAGGGAATAGTCATTTCTTCTAAACGCCGTATTGCACCTACACCAAGTCTTGAAACGTGGTTTTAGGGTTACACATTTCAACCAACTTGGGAAGCGTAACCTGATCGTCTTCTGACATAGTCAACTTATTGACCGCAATTCGTATTTCAGAGTAGCGTCCCTCAGGCGTAACTACTATTTTACATTTGACCTGATCATGTCTCTATGTCTGTCAGCACCATAAACGTGTTCGTGGGTTTCACCCAAATGGTAAACGTCTATGACCTGCATCAGTTATTTGCTTGTCTGTTGTTCGAAGCCGCACCGAGCAATATTCCAGCTATATAACGGCGGTTTGTAAATAATCGAGTCTGGACCAGAAAATCCAGCGATTGACATCATGCGCATCGATCCACACAATTGGGAAACGATGACATTCATCAACCAAGTCAGCGAGCCTGACCACCCGGTCCCGTTAGTCGCCTCTTACGACAAGCATTGGTTGCTGAAGACCTATTCTACCCCGTATCTTCACGGGTCCTGCATCAGTTAGGACATTCCGATCACATAATGCTTACATACCGAAATATTAGGTGAGGTGAGGTAAAAATTGGGTTTAACGTCGCGTCCAAGATTATTGCACTTATATTGCGACGTGCATGTACGAGTATGTGTTTGTGTGGCTGCTTGTACTAGTCCGGACTGATGCAGATTTATAGTGCTAGCTCACTGAGATACCATGCCGCAGTTGAACATGAATACCCCACTCAGACACAGTATACTGACTCCGAGCCGACAAGTCCTTGTTTTAGCCCCTTAATGCCGAGCGCCAGACAGGGTAACAACAAGTACCATCTTTTAACGTCTTTTGGTATGACGCGGCCGCGGATCGAACCCCGGACCTTCCGCTCTCCGGGCGGACGCTCTACCACTAGACCACGGAGGCGGTCCCCGATATATTAAAAGAGACGTAAAACATCATACAATCCCTCTTCCCGACATGCGAACGAACTAAACACCAATTCGTTCCATTGTACCAAGTTTGAAAAATGCGTCAACCTTTTAACATTAAGGGGGGCACGGGTGGCCCAGTCGTTTAAGGCGCCGTGATTCGCTGTGCAGAGTTGCGTGCCTTGGGCACGCCAGAAACCTATGATTGTGGGTACGAATCCCGGTTCGCCCCAATTTTGTTTCTAGGTTTGTCAGCACCACACCATGCTCGTGCCCACTTCGGGCTTTCCTCCCACATTAAGCTGACACGACGCGATATAACTGGAATACTGTTGAAAGCGGCGTTAAACCCAACTCACTCACTCACTCACTCATTTTAACATAAAACACCTACTGAACAGACAGGTAAAGACGGCGACTGATAAACTATTATTTACGTAAAACGTCAAAGATAAAATGTATCAATAATGTGTCGATCATGTTATAAATAATCATTAACAATGTGTCATCCATCATACAGCATATCATCATCCTGCCATACAATTCGCAATATAGGCATACCTGTCATACGATGTTTGTCACACGCTATGATGATGACCCTTGTTATTAAGCTCATTAACTCTAAATGTGTAGACTACGGCCACTTAGCTTCTACACGTTGTCAGCCCTCTACCCCTCTAACCATCACTTGCTCCTAAGGTCAACGACATGGACGTCATAAACAAAAGGTGATAGCAGGTAAATCTCACATCACCTGTCGTATAGATAATGACACCTACCTTTCTCCGTTAACGCCAATTACAGCGGAACTGGTCAAGTGCTTGATCCAATCTCAGTGGTAGTGGCACACAGGATCGATCTATACCGCTGACCGGCCTGTGTTATACAATGACTATATCCCTGTCTCCGCGCCTGATCCGCCCTGCCTTGGCATGAAGCTGTCTGCGGGCAGATGGGAAAGCTCCGTGGAGAATCGGCGGATCGTTGCTGTTCGCTCTGCCATACAATCTATCCGATCAGTCCTCGACATATGCTTCAGTGGACTTGGCGTAGAGTGCAGGGTATCGCCACAAAGCTGATCAGCTTGGAATTGATTTGTGGCATTTGCCATGACCCACTGAGGAAATAGATGTTTTGATTGGGAAATATGGTTACTGGGGCGTAACTGTCCACAATATTTATTTTCTTTCGACCCTGTTAATCCTGGAACCTTGTAGTACCGTTCTGGGAGCCGTTGCATGATCTTAGCGCTTAGGTGATTGTAACTCCTATACCTTAACATAGGCTTACGACTGTCGTAGCCCTAAGGTTTTGTACAACTGCACCCAGAACAATATAAAAAGGGGTCGCGAAACTTAATTATTCGCTAATCCGGAAATTCGATTATCTGGACAGTCCCATCCGGATTATTTGGGTAACTGCAATGTAAATTGGAAAATTTTGCGTCAATTGTATTGTTAGCACTTACTCAAAGCGATGTAGCGACACATTTATGTGTATCCATGTGGTTTCAAAGCATGTCCTCTAGCATATGTCGTATTGCCGATGATGTATTAATTGATTTGTCTGATTGATCAAAATGTTAACATATTTATCCCTTTGATTATTCTATAACCCTTGAATATATTAAGGGACGCGTGAAGACCCGGGGTAGAATAGGTCTTCAGCAACTCATGCATGCCGTAAAAGGCGACTAACGGGATCGGGTGGTCAGGCTCGCTGGCTTGGTTGATGCATGTCATCGTATCCAAATAACTGGATTGTCTGGTGCAGACTCGATTATTTACAGACCGCCGTCATATAGCTGGAATATTGCTGAGTGTGGCTTTACAAACAAACAAACAAACAACAAACAAAATATAGGATATATTAAGGGGGCGTTGGAGAAGCCTTGTGGTTACGTCGTTCGCTCGTCATGTTTAAGGCCCGGGATCGATTCCCAAAATGGGCAAAATGTGTTTAGCCCTTTTCTAGTCTCAGCCACAGTGATATTGATATTGAACACAACTCACTCACTCACTGAGTATATAAAGAGACGCTGGGATATGAATATAAATCCATTGTTTTGAAAGTGAACATGAAATATATGAGACTTTTTCAGGAGAGACATTTTATTTTGTACAGTAGAATATGCATATTACGGGCGGTTGTGGGTAGACAAGTGGTTAAAACGTTGGCTTTTCACGCCTAACTCCCGAGTTCGAATCATGACATAGAAACAATGCCCCCGACACCCACTCCTGGTGTCGGGGGGCACGGGTGGCCCAGTCGTCTAAGGCGCCGCGATTCGCTATGCAGAGTTGCGTCCCTTGGGCACGCCACAAAACTATGCTTGTGGGTTCGAATCCCTGTTCGCCCCGATTCTGTTTCTAGGTTTGTCAGCACCATATCCGTGCTCGTGGGTTTCACCGAAGTGGTAAACGTCTGGGACCTGCATCACTTCAGGCTTTCCTCCCACATTAAGCTGACACGCCGTGATATAACTGGAATAATGTTAAAAGCGGCGTTAAAACCCAACTCACTCACTCACTCACTCACTCAGTCACTCATTCCTGGTGTCCCCAGCTGTTTAATTGCCAGACTATTGCTAAAGGCGGAACAAACCGTACGCATGCATTCGTAATTAATGTTGTCACGTTTACTGTCTCAAGCATTGACATTACTGGCATAATGACAAAAGCGACATGACTAAAAAATAGTTATCCTTAATTAACAGCACGGCAATATGGTCACGTTTGCTGTTAAAAATAGTTTATTGGTCAACCTTTGTTCACCAATAGCTTCACGACCATGTCGTTCATGTTGCAGATGATGGCCATGGCGTCGAGCAGTCGTGACGTCCACTGTGAATTATTGCTAGTCTGGTTTTATGATTACCGCTAGCTTTACAATATATCAAGAATATAAGACAAAAATGTCCCCCGAGTGGCAACATCCGTCACGCAACAAGATACCCGCCTTTGCTGCATCCCTTATAATTTACGTCGGAGTTAAATTTTAAAATGCCCATTAGTGCTATTATAAACGTTTCAATGGGCTCTGTGGCTCTATTTTCAGTCCAGAGAGTTTAATGGCCACACGGTCTTCGTGTGTGTACAGATGTGGTTTTTTTGCCCGGAAGTATCAACTGGATGGTGATATCTCTCGGACCATTTGCTTCTTTTCAGTAATGGATTCATACGAAACATTTGTAGGTTCTCGTTGGATCCAGAAAGCATTTTGTATGTGTCTTAAGAGAACTGATATTCCATTCATTTTGCGATTCAGGAGTTATGTCCATTTAAGCACATTTATTTGGAAAGGCGATGTATAATTGTCACCCGACACAATATCGACTGAATGCATGGTGGATATATCGATATACAGCCGTGGCACCTTTGATCTCTGTGGAATCAATGATTCATCGCAAGTAAAGTGCCCGCTTCTTGACTGGCGGTCATGTTCGTTCCCTGGTTGGAATGGCCAGATTGTGTGTTCGAATCATAGGGAGAGTGAGTGTGAAAGGGAGAGTGAAAGTATAGTGAGTGTGAGTGTCATTGTGAGAGTATGGAGAGCGTCTGGGTGTGAGCGTGAGTTGCAGTAAATGAGAGTATCTGAGTGTAAGTGTGAGATGAAAGAGTGTGTGAGCGTGAGTTCGAGTGTAAGTGTGAGATAAGAGAGTAAGTGTGAGTTTGAGTGTAAATGTGAGAGTAGGTTTGAGTGAAAGAGTTCGATGAGAGAATGTGTAAGTGTGAGAGAATGTGTAAGTGTGAGTGTAAGTGTGAGAGTGAGTTTCAGTGTGCGATGAGAGAATGTGTAAGCGAAAGTGAGAGTGTAAGTGTGAGATGAGAGAGTAAGTGTGAGTTTGAGTGTAAGTGTGAGAGTAGGTGTGAGTGTAAGTGTGAGTGTGAAAGTGAATGTGAGTGTGCGATGAGAGAGTAAGTGTGAGTTTGAGTGTAATTGTGAGTTTGAGTGTAAGTGTGAGAGTAGGTGTAAGTGTGAGAGTGAGTGTAATTGTGAGTTTGAGTGTAAGTGTGAGAGTAGGTGTAAGTGTGACAGTGAGTGTAATTGTGAGAGTGAGCGTAAGTGTGCGATGGGAGTGTAAGTTTGAGTGTAAGTGTGAGAGTAGGTGTGAGTGTAAGTGCGAGTGTAAATGTAAGTGTTAGAGTGAGTGGAACCATGAGTGTGAGAGTGAGTGTGAGTGTGCGATGAGAGAGTAAGTGTGAGTTTGAGTGTAAGTGTGAGAGTAGGTGTGAGTGTAAGTGTGACAGTGAGTGTCAGTGTGAGAGTGAGTATGAGTGTGCGATAAGAGAGTAAGTGTAAGAGAGTTTGAGTGTAAGTGTGAGGGTAGGTGTGAGTGTAAGTGTGAGAATGAGTGTAAGTGTGAGTGTGAGTGTGCGATGGAGAGTAAGTGTAAGTGTGAGTGTAAGTGTGAGCGTAAGTGTGAGAGTAAGTGTAAGTGTGAGTTTGAGTGTAAGTCTGAGATCCAGTGTGATTGTGCGATGAGAGAGTAAGTATGAGTTCGAGTGTAAGTGTGAGAGTGGATGTGAGCGTAGGTGTGAGTGTAAGTGTGAGAGTGAGCGTAAGTGTGCGATGTGAGTGTGCGATGTGAGTGTAAGTGTGAGAGTAGGTGTGAGTGTAAGTGTAAGTGTGAGAGTGAGTATGAGTGTGCGATGAGAGAGTAAATGTGAGTTTGAGTGTAAGTGTGAGAGTAGCTGTGAGTGTGAGTGTAAGTGTGAGCGTAAGTGTGAGAGTAAGTGTCCGTGTGAGAGTGAGTGTAAGTGTGGGAGTAAGTGTCAGTGTAAGAGTTCGATGAGAGAATGTGTAAGTGTAAGTGTGAGAGGATGTGTAAGTGTGAGTGTATGTGTGAGAGTGAGTATGAGTGTGCGATGAGAGAGTAAGTGTGAGTTTGAGTGTAAGTGTGAGAGTGGGTGTGAGTGTTGAGTGTGCGATGAGAGAGTAAGTGTGAGTTTGAGTGTGTGATGAGAGAATGTGTGAGCTTCAGTGTAAGTGTGAGAGTGGGTGTGAGTGTAAGAGTGTGATGAGAGAATGTGTGTGAGAGGAGTAAGTGTGACAGTGGATGTGAGTGTGAGTGTGTGATGAGAGAATGTGTGTGCGAGGAGTAACTGTGAGAGTGGGTGTGAGTGTGTGATGAGAGAATGTGTGAGTTTGAGTGTGAGAGTGAGTGTGAGTGTGCGATGAGAGAACGTGTAAGTGTGAGAGGAGTAAGTGTGAGTGTGTGATGAGAGAATTTTGAGTTTGATTGTAGGTGTGAGAGTGAGTGTGCGATGAGAGAGTAAGTGTGAGTTTGAGTGTAAGTGAGAGTGAGAGTGACAGTGCGTGTATGTATGGATAGGGAGTGTGAGTTATCAGGGGCGTTGGAAGATGTGTGAATTATAGCGTTCAAATAAGAGTAAATGTAAGGCCATGTGTGATGTATCCATATGTGTACTGGAAGCAGACATGGAAGATTCAACCTGTACCAATAGCCTGAAAATGACTTAAGTGTTGAGCAAACTCGTATAGCTAATGGTTGGGACCATTGATCATCAAAACTCCAAGGACAAAGACCCTGGCAGAACCAACACCTCTGGCTACTGAAACATGATTAAGAACATACTCAGAATGTCCATCTATGCCCCGAGCTCATAAAATGAGGATTATCATTGTCAGACCGGAGGGTGTTTGTTGGGACAGTTAATTACATTAGCATTGTGGGTTAGCTACAAATGTGAACTGACCACTCTACCAGAAAGCTATTCGATCTCCCTTACCCCTCAGCCCCCCTCGATAATAACATCAAACGTACACAAACCTAACTACTCATGTCGCACCCGTCATGGTCCCTGGATTAAAGAAAGTTGTGTCAGGAGTCAACAACGCACGGTGCCGCCATTCTGTGAAGTGTACGACATTACTCTGTGACACGGCCCCTTCGACGTGATTGCTCTTGAACATGGCGGCTCTTCAATGGGATTAATTTATCACTTGACTTCGTCGTTCTGGTGGTAAACTTG